CTGCTTACTGGCTGGCTTGCTGCTGTGGTAGTTTTGGAGATGACCTCCCCTCACTGGGCATTTCATAATATGTAGCTGTTACCTCCAACTGGGTCTGCTCACTTAACTGAGGCATCCTGACAGCATCAGTTCCCACAGATCTGAAGTCATACTCAGGGATGATTCAGTGGTCTCACAAGCTCAGGGTTCAGAATGAGGCACTGTTGTCCCCTCCAGATCACAGCTAGCTGGGCATCTGGCCCACGACATGACAGCTGCCTGGGTTAGGGCCAATCTTTGGTTTCACAAAGGGGTCCTGATATTGGTGTGACATGACACAGCTTTTCCTGAAATGTTGTTTTTAATGTCTTTTTTTTTTTTTGCTTTGTGTGGAGAGGAGACAGCCAGAAATTACTTAGTGTTTCAAAGCCAAGGCCTGGCTTTCTAAGTGTCTGGGTAACAAGCAATCTAGCAACACCCAACATGGAGGAAGCTCAGAGGAGAGCTACTTATGCATGGATAACTTGGGCTTTTTGTTGCTGGTACCTCCCCTTGGCTTTAGTGATATCCCCTCAATGCCTCTAACTTATGGAGGTACAAGCAGTAAGTTGCCATATCCCAAACCCAACTGTACTGCAAGCTAGCTGAGCATAGCTATATTTTGGATGTCTCTAAGGAGATGGAATAGTGACAGGAGAGGAGAATCAACCCTTCATTAAAAAACAGAATCGGAAGAAATCATGGTTTTGTCTTAGGAGTACATGGTCCAAGACCACGGGCTCTTCTGTATAAAGTGATCTCTTTTCCAAGGGTGATAGACTGACATATCCTATCTGAGTGGCAGGAGGGAAATGCAGCCCAGGTTATCTTCTGTCCTTCTGAGGAAGACAAGGTTTGAGGGCTTGCCTGCACTGGTGTTACAAAATGGGGGGGCGGGTGGCAGGGGCAGGCAAGTAGCATCAGCCCTGGGTGCTGATCCCTCTAGGTGGAAAGGGGATGGGCAAAAAAATAGAAGCAGCTGCGCTGCTAGACCCGCCAGTGCCATGGAGCTGGATCCACAGCCAGTGATGCTGCCCTGTGCCGTGCTGCCACCCAGGGTGCTCAAGCATCATATTATGTCTGTGCTCATCAGTGCTGCCTCTGTTCATCAATGCTGCCTCTGTGCAGGGCCCAGAAGCACCACCTTAAAGCCTGACTGGTTCACCTGCTCCCCTCTGCAAGTGCCAACTCCTAAAGCTGAAGCAATGTGGCTGCCTTAAAGTGGCCCTGAGCACTCTCCCAGCAGTGCTCTTTGGCTCTCTGCCTTGAGAGGGGTGCTCTAAGGTGGGTGTGTTAGCTCCTTTCTGAGATTGGGTGTGTACGGGGTGGGACGTCATGGAGGTGCTTCTGGGTGGGCTGTTATTTGTACTACTAAGTAGGTTGCTTTCGCTGTGCCCTGACAAACCTGGGTGAGCAGACAGATCAGTGATTCCTGGAGAAGTAAGCGCTGGAAGGGACCTTGCGAGGGCATGTAATCCAACCCTCTGCCTGAGGCAGGATCATCCCTATACAAATCCATTGTCTAACCTCTTAGGAAAACTACACAGTCAACACTGACACAACACAAGACAGAACCCCCTTACCTGCCACTAGAAAAGCAGAGGGACTATGGTGGCCAACATCTTGCTAGGTACAGGTTGTTAAAATACTGTCGCGAGATCCCAGAAGAGGACCATGACCCACACTGTAAAGGAAGGCAAAACCCCCCATGGTCCATACAAGTCTGACCATAGGCTAAAATTTCTTTCTGACCCAAATATGTCAGTTGCTGTAACCCTGAGTGGAGGGGCAAGAACCTGTAGCCAGGAACCTCTGGGTTTAAGTCCCAGCAGGTGTATCGGCACACCCCAGCCAAAATCCCCAGTCTTGGCTGTGGCCAACACCCAATGCCTCTGAGGGAGGCTTCAAAAATAAAATAAAAAAACAAGCAAACCCTGAGCAATGTAGCAGCAGGAGAGGAAAAAAATCCTCTCCCAGCCCCATGCGGCAGACAGATTGCTGCAGTGGGCAGAGAAAATGGATTTTAAAACAAATGCAGCCCAATCTTAAGCCCTGCTGTGGGTGGGAGAGAGGAGCCAGTGGGCCCAGGAAATGGGAGCGTGAGCGGCTGGGCGGTGCTGTGCCGTCAAGTTGCTAATTCCAGTTATTACCTGCTTGCCCTTTCATGTCAGGGCACCTGTCTCGTTCTGTCTGTGCTGCTTTAATTATTATCATTATTTGCTTGTTATTGGATGTGCTAAAAACCTGCAGCAGGTCTGTGTCACATCTGCACTGAGAGTGAGGTGATGTGCATCATTTGGGAGGACTGGACTCTGCCCACCCACTTTCTCATGGTCTCTCTCGTGTCTTCTGAGACCTTCACAGCTGCAAAATTAGCATTTTCTTGTGTCTACAAGCCAAGGGCAGAGCATTTCATCCAGTCCCATCATCTTCCTACATTTCATGGACTCCTAGGAGGTCATCTAGGTCATCCCCCTGCTCAAGGCATGATCATTCCTAGACTAATGTTCCTTTAACCTGTACTTCTTTGCTGCTGACTCCAATCATTGAGTAACATTTGGCATCTCTTTCTTCCTCTTTGGGAAGAGCAATTGGAAGTTTTGGACCATTCACTAGAACCAATCTATAGCAGAGGTAAAGGCCCCGTACAGGCATTTAGTTTCCCTGTGAGAGTTGCTGCTCTCCAAGGAGAAACTGTGAGTGGACAAATATTCAGGCTTTTTCTCCCAAAGTAAAAATGGTCACTCCAGGAGAAAAATAACCTGGGAGCAACCAGGGTTAAATCCCCTCCCCACAGGAGTTTCTCCTGGGAGAACAAATGCCTGTTCATGCTGAAAATGAGGACAGTCCAGTTAGAATGGCAGTGCCTCCTATGTATATGACTATGGACAGATGGTTTCACTGAGAAGGAACTTAAAGAAAGTGTTTATACCATAGCACTACTTATTGTGAATTCTATGGAGAGTGCTTCTCAGAATAGCAGGCTAGTATAGTTAGACTTCTGCTCTATCTGCCAAAGGACCCTAGTTCTGATTTGGTGAAGTACATCTGGTATCCATCTGGCTCCTCTAGCCAGTTCCAAAGCAGTGATATAGAGACAGGGATTTTTCAGCCTTCACCCAGTACAAAAGGCTTTGAGCAAGCCACCTTCCACCATTCTACCTGGTACCAAAGAAATGGGTCCATCTCCGTTTCCTCAGCTTGGGTTTAGGAGATCCTCCCAGAAGCCCTTTCTCTGCCTGATAGGGCTGAGAATTTTTCCTTCTCCCAGTAGACATCCAACCCAAATCCTTGTCTCCTTGGTCTCCTTTATTTCTGTCCTAATGAATTCCCCCAGGGAGACGTCTTTCTCTGTATTCCTCCTTGCTGCTTTCTGGGGACAAGGATAGTGTTTTTTCTCTCCTTACAGGCTTTGAACTTCTTCGCTGCCTGACTAGATGCATAGTTCCACACCCCATCATGGGCCTACCAGGGTGATCAGTAATAATAGTAATTAACACTCTACATCTGCAAAAACAGCTGTAAATCAGGACCTGCTCCAAAGCCCACTGCCAATCAGAGAGGAGGCTGTGGGCTGAATATTCAGATCTATCTGTGGGACTCATATGGCCTCCACCACTGCGGAGTCTGAGAATTGCAGAGTCTGTAAAGCACTGATCCTTTTACAACATCCCCTGAAATCAGGAAGAGTTTTTTATCCCTTGTAATAGATCAAGGGACTAGGTGATCTGCTTGAGGCCACAAGTCATTTTTCAGCTGAGAGGGAACTGAACTGATGGATGCTGCCCTCTTTAATCAGTAGATTACCCTTCCTCTTGGACACCTCCTACAGGTCCTGAAGCCTGTACCCAAATGACCTTCTCCTTTCTTTGTTCTGTGCCTCTATTCCCCATAGTGCCCATAGATGCTACATAGTTAATCTCTGGAAATATTTCTCACTTAATCAATTTTACATGTGCACCCCCCATCAGCAAAAGGAAACTGGAAGGAGTTGAAGTAAGAGTTAGATAAAAGTGCTAAGGGAAGAAGGGAAGAAGGGATTCCGATATGAAAACAGTTAAAAATTAAATGTGTATAGCCACGGTGAAGAAAAGGCATTGTAAGTCTCTGCAAAGGTCTGAAGGATGTGAGCACCCAAGGAGAAGTGGACGAGGTGCGGTGGAACTAAGTGTCATGCATCAGAAGGGAATTCAGGGCATTAAATGGGAGATATTACAGAGGCAGGAGAAGCGTTGCTGCCCGTAAGTGATCATTTTAAATCCTAGACTAGACAAAGCAGTAAAAAACCTGTGTGCTATGGGAGCCCACCCTGCACAAACAGGGCATGTCTACATGAGACACTGCTGTGCAGTAGCAACAAGCTACTGCACAGTAACTCACTGCTAAGGCACAGTAGCATTGCTGGGCATTGAAGTTCATTGCTACTGTGCAGTTGCATCTGAAAAAAACCCATGTGGGGATAGTACTGCGCAGTAACTCTGGTTACTGTGCAGCCACCGCTCGTGTAGACGCAGCCACAGACAAGCAGACAAGGTGCTTGTTCTGAAGCTGACTAGAGTCCATGAGAGACTTTCTTTCAGCTTGATGGCCTTTCAGTCAGGCTATGAATGCCTGAGTAGTCACTCTCCAGTTTGCTGTTAGGTTTAGTGCCTCTTCCCTGGGAAAGACAGCTTGAGACGTTCTCAAAGGGAGGCTGTCATCCAATTTCTTCCCTTGGCCTTGGACTTTCCCTTTCAAAGTCCTTGTGACCATTCCAAGATGGTCTTGACCATTCACCTTAGAGGCTTGTGACCATCTTCTGTTAAAAATAAATAAAGACAAAGTGCTCCAGTGCTGTGCCAATGGGGGTAAGGACATAGCAAGGTAGTCATTCTGACTACCTGTTAATGGGTTGCATGGCTACCCCATGGGGGGGCTGTTTCCTGTAGGTCCTTTCCTTGCTGACACTATCGAATGACCCTCCGATTCTGGGGTTTCTTTTGTGTTTCTTGCCCTCCCAGGCCTGCAACGAATTCACCACCCACGTGATGAACCTGCTGCGTGAACAGAGTCGGACCCGGCCCATCTCACCGAAGGAGATCGAACGGATGGTCAGTATCATCCACCGCAAGTTCAGCTCCATCCAGATGCAGCTTAAGCAAAGCACGTGCGAAGCCGTTATGATCCTACGCTCACGATTTCTGGACGCGCGGTAAGTTTGCTCCCAACCCAGCCCAAAGACAATGCCTTGTGTATGCTTGTGGGAGAGGTCTTGAGTAATGGAAAAGGATGGAGAAAGTTGGATCGATATCTAGGACGCTGGATCAATTCAGTGTGGCCAGAGGTGAAATAACCTGAGTAGATAGATACTGGTGTGTCCTAGTACCAAATCAGCTGTTCTAGCACAAGGATCCATAACCTGTGGCCTGCGGGCTGGATCTGGCCTGCAGAACCTTTTGATCTTGCCTGTGGACACGTGGCATTGGGCAGTGGGGGGCTTTGGCAGCAGCCACTTTCCCTGTGCTATCTCAAGAAAAAGCAGCAGAGTTGAGCACCTCCTCTGTGCCAGAAATGAGCACTTTTCTTGTGCCCGTGCAGGGAGAAGTGGCAGGCATAGGGAGAAGCAGCAGTGGTGAGCATGGTGAAAAGTGGTGGCAGCAGGCTCCCTTCCCTGTGCTCCTACAGGCAAAAGTGGCAGTGAAAACATGGGAAAAGCCCATGTTAGTGGCTGGGAAAAGCAGTAGTGGCAGCTGGGTCCTAGGACCTGCCATCCCACCTCTGATCTGACCTGAGTCAGTCTGGTCAGCAACTTTAAAAGGTTGTCAGCCACTATTATGCTGATATTTGCAGGGTGATCCTGAACTAGCTGAAAGAAAGATTTGTTTTAGTTTGGCACAAAGAGGAGTCTTGCTTCCCAGGATTTCAGCTGAGACACTGGTGGGTTAATGTCGTGGGAGGAGGGAGAGAGTTTGAACCCCTGGAGAGGAGGGAGGAGTCAGGCCAGTTTGATGTGTTTAGAGTGAATCTAATTCCCAACCTACACCAAGCACCCTGGGAAGAAATCTCCTTCCTCAAGCTGCTTTACACCCCAGCTCACAACCAGCTGCTCAGCATACTACTAGGCATGGAGCTGGCAGGTGGAGGCAAATCATAGTGTCCTCGAGGGCTGAAGGAGAACAGGCCCAGAGCCAGTGTTGAGTGCCTTAGTGCAGGACAGTGGTGCTGGCTATGCTGGCAAGCCACGCCCCTCAATGTGTGCATGGGGGGCAGGGGTGGGATTTGCAAGGTTGGAAGGAAGTAGAAGGCATTTTGCAGCATGTAGGAGAAAGGTGGATCAGGGCTCCTACTAGGTTGGAGAGAGAGCAGGACAAAAAGGATTTGTCACTCCTAATGTTGCAAGCAGGAAGGGCAGAACTCAATGTGCCCATCATGGCCAACAGTAGCTTTGGAAATAGCTAATGGGTAATGAAGAAGGGTTAAGCTGATAGGGAGATCGAAAAGGAGTCCTAGGGCTAGTGGGTCAGAGATATGAGAGGAAGATCTTGGTTTGGAGTTATCAGGATAGGGTATCTCCAGATTGCATGGAGAAGTCTCATTTCCTGAGTGAGGGCCTTGTAGCAGCCAGAGGAAGGTGTCTGCTGCTGAAGAAACTCAAAACTAGTGGCCAGCCAGGGGGCCCTTGAAAGAAGGATGAGATGCAGCTTGAAGAGCTAATCTTTTCCCTGAAAAAAAGAGGGGGAAACTCACAGACTATTTTAACCATTCCTGGTGAATAGTGTGGAGAAATATTTCTGGAGACTGCAGGGACAGGAGTAGGAGAGGCCAGGAAAGAAATCCTATGAAAGACTGAATATTGTATATTCTGTGTATAAGGGGCAACCTTCTGCATAGGAGATGGGACAAGCTGAGTGTACCTAGGTCTCCCATCCAGCACAGGCTGCCCATTATCTAAAGTGCAGTGTCCTTTGCAGCAAGTGGGAAGCAAATTTTTCAGGGAGGAGTCTGAGTTCTGTGTGGCAGGTGGAAATTCTGTTGCAGACTTGAGTCAGTTAATGAGTGGAGAATTGCATGGGGTTAAAGCTGAAAGAGAATTTCACTGCTGTAGCTGTTACACTCGGTGTTTATCTTCTCATTCATTTCCCCTTTAATTTTACTGCCCCACATTTTAGTTTGTGCAGCAGACTTTTTCCATTGAAAACGCAGACTTTCCCTTATACAACTGTTGGAGGAGGAAATGTAAGTTTGAACGTCTCTGACAGGGTAGGTTATGAGAGGCAGTTGTCATTTCAGCCTCTGAGAGGGAGCTGACTTCTTTGATGTCCAATGCATCACTAAGTTCTCTGTCCAGCGTTGCTTGTAATACCTATTACCATTAAAGTGAGGGTTATGGTCTTTTATAAAAGTGGGTCTTTTATAAAACCAGCACCTTGTTCCTCAGCTGCTCCGTACAAGATAGCCTATTTTATGGACAATTTATATTCCCACAGGTGCTCATACACCTCTGGGCAAGCAAGTTGGATTCTACTTTGCCTTGAGCTTCATCAGCAAAACTGGGAGATGCAAGAAGCAGAAAGAGCACAGCTGGGTTTTGAAAGCAGGAGGCTGGTATCTGATAGCTCAGACAGATCCCAGGAGTCAGGACTCTCAGGTTCAGTTCCCAGCTCTGCTAATGCCTTAGGCAAATCATTTAACTTTTCTGTGCCATAACAAACGAATAATAATAGAGCTGCTTCCTTCGCAAAGCCTTGCAAAGTTTAACTAGAGGAGGTTTGCAGAGTACTTTGAAATGGAGAAGGAAAGTAGTATTCATTTCCCAAGTGGAAGTCTGGACTGGCAGTTAGTTAAATGTTGATTTTTCTTATCAACAGGGCTCGTTTGCTCTGGAAGCCACTGAGAGAGAAGAAACTTAAGCCTCCCAAGAGGTCATTTTAGGTGCTTTCCTGATTATAACCAATCAATTTGTGCTGCCTGGGCTGAGGGCAGCAGCAGGAGTGAACTAACCTGGGCCTGGTGATTATGGATTAAGCACGTCCAAGGTTCCATCCCTCTTTCTAGGTTATTAGCACTGATTCTTATTCATTTTCTCCTTCTCAAGGCGGAAGAGAAGAAACTTCAACAAGCAGGCTACGGAAATCCTGAATGAGTATTTCTATTCCCATCTCAGCAACCCTTACCCCAGTGAGGAAGCCAAAGAGGAGCTAGCCAAGAAATGTGGCATCACAGTCTCACAGGTAAGAGCACAGTGACATGAGCTGAGAGAGTAGTGCCAAAACAGCAACAGGGTGTTTCTCATGCAGGGGCATATATTAGGTGAGTTGAGTTCCCTCAGTTCTGATGGCTTAATAACTGGATGAGTGCTAGATTTAGACCAGGGAGCATTCTGTGTGTGGGTGGCCAAATTATGGGATCAGTAGACTTGCAGGAAGAGGGGGTACAATGAATTGAGGTAAGTGCTTGGATACCAACAAAGCAAAAGTTGGTTAGGATAGCAAGAGATTTGTAAGAGGGCAAGAGAATAGAGCCAATGTAGATCTTACCCAGTGGGGGACCTGGGTGAAGGTTCCTTGGATGGGGAATTTGGGCAACAGGAGCTAAGCAAGACAGCCTGTGGCTTTACAGGGAAAGGTCTGTGTCTGTAGAACATTCAGCATCTAATGGGTGCTCCCACCATCTACCCAGTGGATATGTTAAACAAGCACAGGGACTGGGTAGGGCATTTAACTGATGGCTCTATATGAATAAGGCCCAGGCAAGAGCAGTGGAGGCTGTGGGCTATGTAGGGAAGTAGCCGGGTTATTTCTGTCTGTCCAGAAGAAACATGCAGTGTATAATTACTCTTACATTTTTCTGAATGTAATGCCTTCCTGTAATGCTGGTGCTTGTAATTTCTCCATCAAAATGGGATATTCATTAAATATATTCTGGTAAGTAAAGGGTAGTTGCACAGCAGCTGTACCCCTTGAATTTAAAGTACTCACCATCATGCTGATGTAAATCATAAGTAGTACAGTTGAGTCTTTGAAGCCTGCACACTGGGGGATGTAATTTAAGTAGCATCCTTTCCTTTCCTCTCTCTTCTTCTTTTCCACCTACAGTATTTATCTTCAGGGTTGCTTGACAGCAAGCCAGTCAGCATGGCCCCTGGAAGTCCAGCTCCCAGCCATTCCCTGTCTTCTCCATGAGCTCTCCCAAATCAGTGTCCTTGTGTTCCATCCTGTTCCCAGACATCTGTCTGTGATGCAAGTGGAATAACGTTCAGATGAAGATGGGAAATTCTCCACCTTCTTGTAGTTGTCTGGTTTCTCTGGGGATAGCAACATCTAATTAGATACTGTAGTCAGTATATAGTCCTACTAATTGCTTGCTAAATGTTCATTTAGTGATCATCAATCTGTGATCATATTTGATACATTAGAAGACCCAGATGTCTTTCATTTCCTCCCACAACTACATGCAAGGAATAGGATATACTGATTCAAAGAGAGCAAAAATTGTCTTGAAGTTTTCTTTTGTTCTTGGAATTGACCCCTCAGATGCTTATGGGGTTTAACAAATTTCAGTAAACTCTTTTTTAAAATTTGTGTGCTGTCTCTGCATTCCATTGTGCCAGGAGGAAAAGAGCACATTTCTAGCACAAAAGCTGTTCTTTGTGATGTCTCTGACCCCGCCAAAGCAACAAAATACGCTTCCTTGTTCAGAAGGATTTCTGTTCCTGCAGAATTTTCCCATACGGTTTTTCACACAAAGATGGTATTTGAAAGGGGTTCGTATATGGGCCAGATCACTATTACTACCTCTTTGACGCCTACATGAAGATACGTAGTGGCCTGAAACTGTAACTTCAAGTTTTGTTCCTCTCAGCTGTTTCAGAGTTAGGCCAGGTCACTGCTTCATGAATTTTAAGACTAGATGGGGCCGTTTCAATCATCTAAGGTGACCTCAGCACAGCCCGCAGAATCTGCATCTGGCTTTATCAACTGGTTGAATTACAGCATATTTAGAAAGACATCTGGTCCTCATTACTTTCACAGGAGTCCTCAAAGGAACATTTAGGTCTTACTGAAAGTGTCCTTGGTGAGCCATTCATTGGCTCTTAACCCCACGCCCAAAAGTGAAACAGAATTTCAGACAAATTTGGGCTAGCGAGAGTGCCTTCTTGCAGTGTTAACTCCCATGTCATGGCCCTCTTCCATGAATATTTGAATACTGTAAACGCAAGTAGTTCAGATGAGCATTTAAATTTTGTGGTGATTTTCTAGGAGAACACAGAGGGCCAGAACCTGCTTTACTTATTAGGTACCTAAGTCATTCTTTGAACACCTAAGGACAATCTTATTCCATCCTCTTCAGTGTGAAAAACCATGAAGGTGTCTGCTTTTGTGACACACTTTTATCTTTGCTTTAAGGCTTAGTCTTAGGGCACTGAGGAAAAGGAGGATCTATCCACCTTTTGCAGTAATATTTTTTTTTAGAAATTGAAGGAGGGTGGAATGGAATTGCAGTTAGATGCCCAAGTACCATATAGACACCTAATAGGTAAATTAAGATCTGGCCTATATAATGTTCAAAAATGTTCCTCTCCAACTTCACCATCTATTAAAAAATGTTAAAGTACTGAGAGTAGTGGCTGGATATTTGTTAATTTCCTGTGATGGTAGCTGTAGAACATAGACTTTTCATGAATCTCTTTGTTTGCCATAAAGCCTTGATTACAAGTATCCATGAGAACCGCGGTTCACAAACTTACTGATCCATTAAAGAAACCCTTTTTTTGGTGCAAATATAGAATGCTTTTGGTGTTGCTGATTGAATAGGTATGTGTCTGACCTTGCTTAGTGGTGCAAGAGGTGATAGATTTAATGACAGACACAGGGACTTCTTGTTGTGAGAGGACTTTTATTCTTCAAACAACATATTCTGTTTTCATACCATCTCTGTTTTGGATAATCATTTAGAAGTCTATTAATTTTTGCCAGGATTGGTCTTTCTTGTGGAGTGTATGAACAGATCCTGATAAAACCATATTTTGGACATCAGGAGGCGCTACTTCACGGTCAGGGCGGCTAGAGTCTGGAACCAGCTTCCAAGTGAGGTGGTGCAGGCTCCCACCCTGGGGGTTTTTAAGAGGAGGTTGGATGACCACCTTACTGGGGTCATTTGACCCCAGTGCTCTTCCTGCCATGGCAGGGGGTCGGACTAGATGATCTGCTCAGGTCCCTTCCGACCCTAGAAATTATGAAACCAGAGGGAGCCAAAACCCTTGCAGAACTCAATCCCAAATATTTCTGATGTTTTAAAAGTTCTGCGACCTCCCTTGATTCCATAGCTATGGCCTCACTTGGTTTTGATCCTCACAGGGCACAGAAACGGGAATTAGGATATGTAGGAATTAGTCTCAGCTTTGCCACTAACTTCTGGTATGATTTTAGATGAGACTCTTCACAGCTGTGTGCTGCGTTTTCCTCATTAGGGAAATAAGGATGACACCCTCCTGCATTTTATAGCACTTTGAGGTTGCTAGGTGCTATTTATTAGCATTGCTGCCTGGTTCTGAGCAGGAAGTATCTGCCTGATTTTGCCGACTCAGGATTTTCTATATCATTCAGCTGAGCATCCAGACCTAAACGCTTGGGAGCTTATTCAGATCATTTGGGGCTTTCCCATCACAAACCCTTTCAAGATTTTATACAATTGATTTCAGTCTACCTTCTCTCCAACCTACTGTAGGCAGCAATTACAGATTGAAAACTAGCCAGTAATCTCTCTCCAGGGTGCCCTCTGAGATGAACTCTTTGCATCTCTGCAGACCACAGGGGCCAGATTCTTCACTGGTATTGACTTCAATAGAGCTACACTAATTTACATCACGTGTGCATCTCACCCATAGCTTTTCATTTTCCTTAAATAATTCTGTACAAGTTTGGCCAGTGTTCAGATAGGTCAGCCTGTCTCCTTTTGAAAATCTTAAGATAGCTAAGGAAACAAAGCACATACTCTACACTTGAATACAAGCATTTATGGCTCTCTCTTGCTTACCCCGTCTCTGCAGGGTCCCTGCAGGTGGCCTCATGAGGGGTGGAGATAAGTGATCTGAGCTGACAGCATGAGGTTGAGAATAGCTGGTGCTGTTGTAGGAGGAGGAGGTGTCATGGGGCACAGCTAGAAACTAGAATGGAAAGAAACAGGAAGCAGAGCACCGAACATTCAATGTTTTCTGTTTTCTTCCTTGTCTACATCCAGCTGTACTAGTTTACTTACTGATACAAGGTGAATTGGTACAAAACAGGTGCAAATAAGATTAAGTGTGTCCATACAGGGTTTTGCACTGATTTATCTACAGTGGTTTAAATTGTATCAAGGCAGCTTTTTTTTTTTTTGCATAGGCCAGGTCAGAGTAACCTACACCACAAGCCATGGCTGTACGTGTAAATTCTTCTGGGACATGTTGCAAAGAGTAGCACAAGCAAGACAGAGGCTTTCATGAGGGCTGTGTTTAGCAGAAGGGAGAATCAGACCTTTGTACATAGAGCTGGCATTCACTCCAGGACACTGTGAGGATGCCTACAGCTTAGTTCAAGGTGCAGCATTTTGCTTTTTTTAAAGAGAAAAAAAAAAGGGACTTGGACAGTGGGGTTTACAAGATCAATTGGAAGAGAAATGCTTCATGGACATCCATATCTTAGTAGATTTGAAAATAATTAGGGGGTGGATGTCAAAAGCACAGACAAGATTTAGTCTCCTGTTGAAAGCTATCGGGAGCTGAGCTAGTTGATTTGATATGTGTCTGAGTATCTTTCCCTTCTCATTATGAGGTCTTACTAGTAGCAAGTAAAACAGTTATTTTTTGTTATTGCTGCTGTTTTTCTTTTAATCTCTGTATTGCTAATTCATGCCATTCTAATACAAGTGCCATAGTGCTTGATGTTTTCTTGAGGTCCCAGCTCCTGGAGTCATGTGATTCCAGGAGAATTTCAGCTATCTTTTAAAGAAAAAAAAATAGTGGCAGCTCTTGTGTTTGCAAAGAAAAGCATGATCTGAGTGCACCTCAGAAGCTCAGAATTCAGAAGACAAATGAAAAGAACCCTCATATGTTGTTATGAGTTTTTACATATCAAGAGTTTAAGCCAATTTCATGGGTATTGAAGCCTTTTTTATTATTGAATGCTTTGGATTGTTAAACAAGGTTCTTTGGGTAAATCTGATGATATCTTTTATTGGACCAACTCAAATAGCTGGAAAATTGGTATTGGTACTGCTGTTATTCTGACCTGTGTCAGTTTTGTTGGCCTTCTGTTACTCTGGTCTCTGTTTGGGATGGAGTCAGTAGGTGGAACCTTCACCCTGTCACACTTGATAAGAACGGTAATGATGATGATGATAATACCTGCAATGCTTAACTTGCCTTATTCCACTTTCCTCATATCAAACAAAATTTATGAGAACTGAAACTTCAACTTTTTTTTATCTTTTCTTGAACTTGCTCTAGGTATCAAACTGGTTTGGAAATAAGCGAATCCGGTACAAGAAGAACATAGGTAAATTTCAAGAGGAAGCCAATATTTATGCTGCCAAAACGGCTGTCACTGCTACAAATGTGTCAGCCCATGGAAGCCAAGCTAACTCACCCTCAACTCCCAATTCAGCTGGTTAGTTTTTTTTTTTTTCCTTTGGGTTGTTATTGTTCGTTTTTTTGTTCGTTTTTCCCTTTAATCTCTGTGTTTTTCTTCTTTTCATTTTCAAATTTTGATTGGCTCCTTTATGTGTAATTTTTACAAAAAAAAGAAAAAAAAAAAAAAAGAATGGAGTTGGGTTTTTTCTGGTCGTGTTTTTCCGTATCTAAAATTGACGTGATCGTGCTGCGTAACTGACAACAACTTGTTGGGGTTTTTGCATGGAAAAAATTGAGTTGCTTGCTCCTCAGAAGAAAAACAATTTTCCACAGACAATTGGTTTATTTGACCAGAGGCCAAAAGCATGAGTGACCCTGATAAATAAGACCCAACACTTGCAGGATGTCTCTGCTCATGCTATTTTTTTGTCTGCTATATGTGAACTTTGATTTTTCCCCCCCTTTTTTCAGGGTGGTTTACACAGGAATGTCTAGACCCATATGCAAGTATTTGTTCTCTGTGAATTTTGTTTTCCTTTTGTATCAGTACTGGCAGAAGATTCTATCTTCAAGGAAATCCAGTGGGGTTTCCCTCCCCTCCCCTTTCCCTTTTGTACTGTTTGTTGTATTTTTCATTTTGTTTGCTTCAGGGGACAAATGTGTGTTCAATCAGTGCATCTTATCCAGATTTCAGCTCCTCTGCTAAGGAACAATTATGTGTCTCCTGTTTAGTTTTAGCATCTGTGTGTGCCCAATGCCACCAGATTCAACAGTTATGCCAAACTGTACATTTTTTTATTAATGGTGCTAATCTCCAAAGCTACGGGAGATTTGGGACCTAATTAAAAGAAAAAAAAGGTTAATGTGATGGCTGCCATGTGATTTGAATTATATGTGTATATGCCTATTTTGTTTTAAAAGGGAGGAGGGGAGGGAAACGTGGACCTATTTGGTTATCTGCCTTTAAGCTTGGTTTATTATTATGATACCCTTTCTCCAGGGCATGAAGTGTGCGGTTGTCAGGTACACTGCTAAATGAAGGGCACTGATGCAAAAAAGGGAGGCAAGGCTGCCTACAGGGACATTAAATGGGCCATTGGTGTTCTGACATTGCTGAAACAATGATTATTCTTATTAGGCAACATTTATACAGTGTTGGGATATTTGCATGGCTTTTTAAGGAAATCGGATGAATCACAGTCCTTGCCTGAGTGCAGAGAGTCTAAGTTAGACCCAACACATAATGGTGGAAATGTGAAGACGGTGGAGAAACAAGAGACAAATGTTAAAACAAATGAAATAATGTGAGCTAGATTATATAGTGTGTGAGCCCCATGATTCGAAGAGGAGGGCATGGGGAATAATATTTCTTTGTTTCTTACTGTTTTCCCAAATGGTCCCTCAGGGGTTTGAAGGTTGGGTGTGTTTCCAATGCAGGCCTTTTCTTAATGCCAGTTTCTCCTTTTAGCTCAAGGGGATGAATTCTGTGCTGTGGCTTTAAAGATTTCCCACTTAAAACCTGCTGATGGCCCTCATAAGGGGTCAGTATGTGATGTAACGGTAAGATCTGAAATGGATATCAACACTTCAGCCATAAGTCAGCCTCTGTCTACTGCGGGATAGGTTTCCAGGATTTACTGCAGGGTTTTCTGCACCTTCCGTTGAAACAACTGCTTCTTGGCCACTGTGGGAAAGAGGTTATTGACCAGGTGGCACAGACAGCTCCTTCGTTCCTCTGCTCTTTGCCTACCATACACGTAGATTTGTTAATAACATAGGGTAGTGCAGCATGGCTCGATTCCACTCCCTGGCTTGCTGTTCGTTGGGGCATTTGGAAACATTTGGTTGAACTCTGGAGCTGGTTGTGCTAGAGTTACTCAGGAGGGATGGCTTCCACAGTATCTTTCATCTTTCATTTAATTTGAAATACTTACTTGTATAGGTTTAGGTGCTCTTTGCAAGCTGTTCTCTTAATAAAAGCAGCTGATCAAGCTATGAACCTTTTGGCCTTAACTATTAACCTATTAAAAAGCATTGAGTAAATTCAGTAGAATATATACATGTGCATTAACAAATTATATCTAATATTACTTTTGATACTGAGGTGGGGAATTTCAGAGTCCAGAATCTACACAGACTTGTAACTAAGATATGCAGTTTTCATTTTCCTCTTATTTTGAGGAATTGGTTCAAATTGTGTTTGATCCAAAGCCCACTGAAGCCAAGGGAAAAGGCTCCAAGTGATATTAATAGGCTTTGGATCTGGCCCATATCCAGCATAATAGACATTTCTCCAACAGGTGCCCCACTTAAATAATGCTACAATTCAAGTCTCTTTCTGTGACTTTCCCTGCAGGCAGTAACATGGCTGTTTAAAAGATAAATTGTCCACAAGCCTGCAGTAAACCACTAAGATAATCCCCTGATAACACTGTGCTTTCAAGGAAGGACAGACATCCTTGTTGGTAAAGCATATGATTTGAACTCCTGCCATTGACTCTCCTAGGGTGGCTGTCTACACTCCAAAACTGCCTACCCTTTTCCCATTAATAATGCAGTGGCACTGCTACTAGTAGGGATGTAAGTACTGGCATTGGTAGCACTCCACTGACTTTGTCTTTGTCCCATGAAGACCTTCCTTCCACTGGACAAGGTCTCTGTGACCTTTGGGTGGGTTGTGTCACCTCCATAAGCCTCAGTTTCCACATCTCCAAGATACGGTTTATACTATTTCACATGGGGAGTAGGGCTTATTAGGCTTAATTGATGTGTGTCTATAAAGCTGTAGGAGATCCTTAGATGGAAGATGCTGGGTACCAGTATTCTGCCTGGCCTGTTATATAGGTTCATGTTCACAAAAGGACACTCCCTGGTGCACAGATTGCATTGTTGTAGGTGGAAGAGCATCGTCAGAGACACAAATGCTTGTGTATTTTCATGGCATTTTAAGAAGAATACTAATTATTTTGGTAATATTTTGATGTGCCCTGACAGGATATGGGATTCCTTTTTCCGTGTGTCATAGGTGCCCAGTCTTCCTTTCTCTTCAGTTAAAAAGAAGGCTCCTGATCCTGTCCCTTTTTTCAAAAACAAACCTAGATCTTCAGAGTGTGCATGTCCCTTGCTGTTCCCCACTCTCACTCCCCTCCTGAGAACCATGAGCAGTAATATCCAAAATCATATGATGCCTGACCTGAAGTATATGTAAGTGCTGACACAAGCAGCAAGAGGCAGCCCTTCACCTGACTGATGTTTGTGCACCTCAGCCCCAGCTAGCCATTGCCAAGAGAGTCCCTTTTAAGTCAGATGGTACTGGGCTTTGGATGCTGTATGTCCTCTCTCCTGTGGAGCCTGAGCACAGAACCAAGGTGATTTGACTGACTGAGTCGTTTCTGGTTATAGACACCATCTATTCATTTTTGAGGGCCCATGTTTCAGATGCTCCTCTCCCTGCCTAGCACTTCCTTGTCTGTTCAGCCCAGAGCCTGTTTTGCCAGGTGCCTCACCAGATACTTTCTCTTTCTTACAAGAGAAGTGGTCCTCAGTATTTCTTGGCTCATAACCCCACTTCTAGGTCCCATTTCTAGTCAGGTGACAACCCCATTTCTTGTGTGAGCCCAACTATTCTAGTTGAATTTCTTTGGTACTCACAGCCCTACCTGGGGCCAGGGCTCCTCACTGAAGATCTGCTGTTTTATCTCATCTGTCTCATGATTGAAAGCTTTGAGAACTATTGTTCTGGGTGAGATTGAATTACAGGCTCTATCTTGCATGCCATGAGCCATCCAGTCCCTTTGATTATTTCCTTCCAGTTTCCACCAATCCAGTCTGAGTTTTTAAACTGAGGCTTGTTGCTCTGTTAAGATGCCAGGCCTATGTATGATTGACAAGTTAGATACTTCTTATGCCTAAATCCTGTGGTTTTGAAGAGTACACAAGCTCGTGCAACTGAACTAGCTTCTGTTGATTTTGGGCCCTTTCACTGTCACTGTTTTATGGGGAAGTGGAAGTATTTTTTTATGTGAAAGTGACATTTAAAGGTGGCAGCCCTCCTTAATCACCTCTTAGACACCAGTGTGATACTAACCAGTTGATAGGCTTGACTGAGATGTAGATAGGTAAAGTTGACCTTTTATTTATTTGTAATAACAAAAGCAAAATGGCAATGGGCAAGCAGAGGAGAGGGATTGGAGAAAGAGAGGTGAAATAAGGCTGGTGGGGGGAAGAGAAGGAGGCAAACTTCAGAAATATAAGAAAATCAAGATAGGAAGGGAAAAAAATCTAGGGGGGGATGGCAGCTCCAGTCATGCTGCCTGTTGGGAAAGCCCATCCCAGAGTTCCAGATCCGCTGGCGTATTAGACAAGGCCAAATCACCAGGCTTCACATAAGAAACATCTAAAGTAAAAAGTGGGGAATGATGACAGAAGAGAAGAAAGAGCCCATCCAAGTTTCTAGTGGGTCGCTCTCTGTACTGCCAGATTGGGAGAGGGTTCACTCCCTTTTGTGGGGACATCACGGAATAGGGAAAGGATGAATGAGATTTTACATTGATCATTTTGCAGGTCTACCTGAGTGCTGAAGAACCTCACACCAGCACCTGTTGCATTCTCATGTTCAGAGTAGCAGAGGTGCAGGTTAAAACTGTCTCAAGTGGCCAATACCTTTGTTCCCTTTCTATTTTAATGTCTTCTTTTTTACACTGCTTATTGAGGGGACAGTTATAGTCTACCAACCCCTTTGAATCTGAAATGCTGGCCAGCCTTCTGCACTATATGATTATTGATACTTCACCTGTCTTCTGTTATTCCCACCTTCCTGTGTTGTGTGTTCTATATCCCCTGTTCGTATTACTCGGGAATTCAGTTAGTAACCTCACTGGGGCAGGGACTGGGTCATTCAATTTTAAAGTGCCATGCCCTTCTGGTGCTGTGTAAATGTTGATAGTAGTTTCAGTGACCATGTTAAGTGTGATATGCACAAAGACACAACAAGAATTAGAGCTGATATGTAAATTCAGTGTTGAAGGCCATATCCTCAGCTGATATGAACTGCTATGCCTCCAGTGAAATTACCCACTGAGGAGCTAGTTCAATTAATTCTCTCATCATTTTAGATAATGGTAGAAATGCTGGAGAAAAACATGTCTGTGATGCCAGATTCTGTTCTCCAACAAATGTGCTATGCTCTTGGTTCCTTAAATGGGAGTCCTATATGTGTAGCTGTGAGCAAACTTATGGTCATTGGGTTTTGATCTTGGCTATTTTGACTTGCCCATATTCAGTGTGACCAGAAGCCTTTTACATTATTCACATCCTGGATATTTTAATGCAAAATGCAGGAAAGGAAACTACATGTGATTTTAGCTAAGATGGGTGCAACTGTCACGGACACAATTTTCATGTTTTTATAAAGCCCATTGAACAAAAGATCCACCAGAAATTTCACTAGAATCATTCATCACTAGTAAGATATAACAACAGAGGTTTGAAAAGAGCATTGAAGAGTGGTGAAGGTGGGAAATTAGGTGGGAGAGTGAAGAATATGTTTTAAAAAAAAAGGTAAAATGAGCAGCAAGAAACAAGTACACAAGAACTGTTGAATACCAGGGAAAAGATTTTTGAACTGGATGTAATAATCTCAGATATCAAAGATGGAAAAGAACTAATTTGATTATAGGTAGTTTAATCTCCCTTAGATCCCTGCAGGCTTTTCTCCAGTGACATATTAGCATCTTGAACCATTTTGTTTCAAATGTGCCACATGTCTCAGTTTCCATCCCTTTCCATGGGAGACTGTTCCACCTAAGCCTTGCCATTTTACCTGATATTTATCCCAAATTTAATATTTTTTTTTATTGTCATCCCATTACAACTAGTTATACCACTTTGGAGCCTCATTGCCCTAAGAATTTGGTACTCTTCAAATACATGCTAACTGTAATCTTGTCCTTCCCTACCTCACATACACCTCATACACCTCATGTTAGTAGTAACTCGGGAGCAAGCTTGTGAAAATAATGAAAGGAGCTGCAATGGATAAGAAGCCAATGAGGTTGGTGGTATTGGGAGTCCAGTTAAAGGAATCATGGTGAAGAGATCTTGGTTTAATACTAAACCACAGAAGTTAAACATCAGCATCAGTTCCAAGTGCTTTTCCTGGCATGCTGTGTTATGCCTTCTCTTATTGTAATATTTGTCATGTGAGATTTCTCAGGAGCCCCATTCCAGGATCATAGCCCATCCCATTAGGCTGTATGCAGACATTGGCCAGAGCTGACAGAACCTGCCCCAAAGAGCTTACAAGCTATGTGACAATTGTTACGTTCTATTTCATGAGGACTTCCAGGTCAAGGTGGGACCATTTCAAAGCTTTTGCTGTTAAATGCAGGTCCCTTGGGGTGACAGACTGGATCTGTAAGTGGAGCCTCAACAGACTGGTGCATTTGGATAGTATTGTCTAAACCCAGGCCCCATGTCTCATTCACACTGCAGTCTTTATTTTGATGGCATTCTTGCCTGCCCCCCCTTTGCTATGCCAGTACATTAGCCCCTTCTCAGCTACTTCTCAGAGACCCTGGGCCCTCATAATTTTCACACGTGCCTTGTACCTAGGTGGCAGAATGCTGAAACAGCACTGCAGATGGTGTAAAAGGCAATTACTGCTTTGATACAAATGCATCTGTACATGCAGTCCATTGGTATGCGCATATTTATCTTTGCATCTACATTGGCAGTAAGACATATTTACCATTTATATATGCACATATATTGTAAAAATACTCTGTGCCAATAGCAGTGTATATCTTGTAAATGGCATAGCTCGTGCCTCTCATGATTTCTAAGACACCGGTGCTATTCAGAATTAGAGTTTGCTGCTGTTTATTTTATTCTTTCCCCCCCACTCCCTTCCCTCACATACACACACACATTTTACAATCTGGCTTGTTAACTTTCAATAAAATATCAGTTAAGTTTGTCATTTTTATTTATTATTTTTAAAGGGTGGGTGTGGAAAAAGAAGTTGCTATATTGGAGAGGGAACACGCAGAAAAAAACAACTCCTTGTCGCTTGAGACAGCTTGTTGTCCGGTAGCGCAGAGAATCCTGGATTCTCTTTCCAGCTCTGCCACTGACTTGTGCTACATTTGTGAGAGGCACTCTGCCTCTCCATTCCAATAAAGGAGAAGAGCAGTATCCCCCTTGCTTCTTGTGAGGCTTAATTAAAATTTCATGTTCTTAGGGGAAGGGTGCTAGAGGAGAGCAAAGTTATAGCCTGTAAGATACTACTTTTGGCTCATAGAAAAGTAGAGCTAGAAGGAACCTCAAGAGCTTTTCTGACCAACCCCCTGCTCATGGCAGGATAAAATTAATCCAACTGTTTCTGCCTGGTTTCAGACCAAGGCCTTTGTGTACGAGAGGCAAACATGATTATAACTACTATACTACAGAAACACTTTAATAAATAACCATAGGCACTGAGGGATGATAGGAGGCCTTTGCTGGTTGAGCAAGAGCTACAGGAATTGCAGGCGTCTAATGAGCATCTTTTACCAGTTTTAACAGAAGAGTGGAGTATTCTCTGCAACATATTGGGTAGCATTTATCAAGAACACGATCCACTGTAGCCTTTAGAATCGTAGAAAATTAGGGTTGAGAGGGACCTCAGGAGGTCATCTAGTTCAACCCCCTGCTCAAAGCAAGACCAACCAGCTATATCATCCAGCTGAGGCTTTGTCTAACTGGGGTGTTGTATTCTTTCTAACATAGTTAGGGTCTGATCCCAGTCCCACTGCAGTCAGAGGGATCTGTTCTATTCTGGGTCAGACCTGATGATCTGTTTAGGTCCCTTCCAACCCTAAGTACTATGATATTTTGTTGACTGCAGTAGACGATGGATCAAGCTCTTACTGGTCAGTGATCTTCTCAGCTCCTCTTCATTTTCGAGAGGTTCCACAGTCTTGCACAGTCAGCTCCTCTGAAGAGATCTTTAGAGCATACATAAGAACATTTACTGGGTCAGCCCATAGGTCCATCTTGCCCAGTATCCTGTGTCACACAGGGGCAGAGCGTGGATGCTGAAAGGGAGAATGAACTGGGCATGACCAGGGTTTTTTCCACTATTCCTCTTTCACTTAAGAATCTCCAGCATTTTAGGTGTAGGAGTTTAGCAAGGTTAGTAAGTGGGCAAGCCAATTACTTGACAGCACAGACCCCATGTTCACTTCCTGCCCCATCCCAAAAGTTGCTTTGATCAGATGAGGCTTCTTTGTTTTTCTCAGGCCAGGGATTTGATCAGGAGTATTCACTCTGTCTCCATGGTGGGACGAGAGATACAGATTATCAGTTGTTTTTCAGAGCTTGCACACAAACCATTACTGGGCAGTTCCACAAAGACGATGGTTGCCAATCTTTGGGTTTGATGTGGGGGAAAATTCGAGCTGTTTGGGGGTTTAACCATACAGTGGAGCTGACCTGGGCCCCTGAAGTCTCTCCGTGTCAAGGCTAATGTCATGTTGATAACCAAACTTTGCACGTTGAGCTTTCTCACACTTAATTCGCTGAGCTGCACGATAGTTTCAAAATAATCCCGTAAAATCTTCCCCCACCCCTGCATTCCAGTTGTATGCTCTTTTTCTTTCTCCCCTTCAGTGGGCAGGGGAGGTGCTCGATTACCTCACAGCTGGAAGCAGAAAACCTTCTTGTTTCTCCAAAGACATTTTTTTTTCCTTCCCACCTAGTTGCCTCCATTATTGTAATTTCTTTTTGTAATGTGGCAACTGGTGCATGCGGTGGGACTCCTGATCTGTAATTTGCTTGCAGAGCTCACTGTGGATAGGCAGCTGGCATGGAAAGGGACAGGGGAACCTTACATTCTCTCATGGTCCATCATGTTACTTATTTTGCCTAACCTATAACCTGCCATCATGGAAGTGTGGGACTTTAATTGAAGTCTACAGAGGTAACTTCACAGCCTGACCTTGTAGCTCATGGAGTGCTGCTACCACCACATTGTGAAACAGAACAGCAGTTATTTGATTGTGGAGGTTAGCAACACACCCTCTTCTCTGATGTCCTCAAGAGCATGTTCCACTCTCAACCCACTGGCGAGACCTCCTGTTAAATTAGTGGGAGTTCTGTCCTGGGGGTGAGTAAAGAATCTGGGTGCATCTTTCCTGCAGACTGCAGTATAATGTAGAGATACGTGACTTGGGTAGTGGGGGCAGTCTAGCAACAGCATTGCAGACCTCAGTGTGGGCTAATTTACCCTGCTGAGAAGACCTCTGTTTTTAGTACCTGGGATAGCTTGTTAAAAACTAGCTTGGGTATCTCTACTCTACACTGCAGTCTGCAGCAGCAGCGTACCCAGTGACACAGATTTTCAGGCTGCCTAAAGGACTTGAATGCCTTAAGATGAATGAGAATGGCACTATTGATCCTCTAGGCTGGGTTTTGGATATCTGAGCCAGTGTGTGGGGGGAAAAAAAACCTACTCCAAAGTGGGGAGCCATTGAAGGACATACCTTACGTTGCGATGTAATAATTTGTGGCTTTGTACAACCTCAAGAGGGCACCCTTTTTTTGCTTGCTCTGTTCTTCATACTACTAACCTGACTGTGTGTTTTGTTTTGTTTTGTGGTTGCTTTGCATGTCGTTCCTTCCTCTTGGCTGACAGTCACGGGGTGGATTCTTTTCCTTTCTGTGATTCAGGTGCCTCACTCTTTCCTTTCCAGGTTCTTCCAGTTCTTTTAACATGTCAAACTCTGGAGATTTGTTCATGAGCGTGCAGTCACTCAATGGGGATTCTTACCAAGGGGCCCAGGTTGGAGCCAACGTGCAGTCACAGGTAGGGACTCATCCGATGTACGGCCAGTGAATGCATTAGTGTTGGAAGAGCCCTTGATTGTATTGGCATTCCCCACTTCTGTCCAAAAAGTGAAATCTTAACGGCGCAAATGAACCAATCAAATGAACCAACACTGAAAAAAAAATCCAAAACCCCCTCCCCCCAACCAAACCAACAACCATTGTCTTCGGGAATCTTGCCCACACTTTGTGAATGCATTTGGCTCTGGCTTGATAGTCACATTAGGAGAAAAGGAAGTTTCAAAGAACAAGCATGTGCTAAGACAAAAATAGCTGAGGTTTAGCTTGTTTGCTTTATTTTTCAAGGTAAGGACCAGATGTTCTGACTGGTGTCTCATTTCCAAGGCTTCTACTCGTTTGTTCGATGCTGAAACTAGGCGTCTACTGAAAGGAAAGAAATGCTGAAATGTACAAATTCATTTTTAATTAAATACAAAACACCCAGGCCTAGGCAGCCACCAAAACCTCTTAGAGTCCAGCAAGACACAGAAGGAACTTCGGGCATCATTTCTGAAGTGCTGATCCATACTTTGGACAAAAGAGGGCCCAGCCTGTTAACAGTCTTAGATGCACGTAATGTCTTCTATAAGCTTCTTGCTTCCCATCCACGCCCAACCATTTCATGGGTCCATTTGGCATTTAGCGTTTACAGAAGTTAGGAGATGACTCTCATTCAACTACTTTCATGTTGGCAAAGAGTTTTTTGAGCCAGAGTCACTCCCTTTGCAACCCTGGATGCAGAGAAGAGTGTCATAGATGGGGATCAGACAGCTTATCACTTTAATTTTTGGCTTTTTAAACCTTTATTATAAAAATACGAAAAACAATTGGTGAAAGTGCAAAGGTATGTGGTCCTCCCATGGGCTGGGCATGAAACATTTTTCAGTGACCAAAAAATCCATATTGCCAGAGATTGAAACCCCCTCTCCTTATCACTGGTGCAGCCACTAGCTTGGGGGTTGGTGTATGGGGACAGAACGGTAGGGGAGAGATGCTTGCCCTCTTGCTATGGTAGGTATGCACACTCTCCATGCCCTCCAGAAATAATTAAGGAAACTGCCGACCCTACACATTGAGTCAGACAACCCTCTTCAGTTGATGTGCGCCTCCTGGTCCTTGGGTAGGAGGAAGATGGTGGGGCAGGAGAAGGGAAAGGGAAATAAAGTCTACTCCCTGAGTTAGCTGCAGCATGCAACTCCAGCAAGTCTTATTGCCCCTGTTGCATTTTCTTTCCTCCCTGGATGTCTTCGTTGCAGTGCTCAGAGCTGACAGTTGGGTGTGACAATGCCAGTGGGGTGGGGTTTGGGGTTGGAAAGGGAAGTGAGGGTGTCCTCCATCTTCTGTCCCCCTTGCCACTCTGAAAATGATAGTGCTATATTTTTTCTTTAAATACACGTCAAATGTGAATCAAAGCAGCTTTGCCTTATAATTTCTCTCTCTCTAATTTTTTCTCTTTGTTGTTGTTGGTCTGTTTAGGTGGATACCCTTCGCCATGTTATCAGCCAGACAGGAGGATACAGTGACGGGCTCGCAGCAAGTCAGATGTATAGTCCGCAGGGCATCAGTGTAAGAAAAATAGGCTTGTTTTTTTTTCCCCTCTCCTTTCATTTTTGTTCTCTCACTACCAATTATTTCAAAGCCAAAGGGCTTAGAATGCCACTTAGTAGGACTTGTCTTGGCTTTACGGTCACCTAGTTTATTGCTTCTGTATCGGTCACGCCAACGGCAGAGTTCTGCCCACAAAAAGTGGCGATTGGGCAGGCTTCATGCAGGCAGCTGGCGTCTAGGCCTGTCAGACACAATCAGTGTTTGCATGGCACCTGCGGCCACATGCGTTCAGCTGAGAGGAGCTGCTAAACAGGTGACACCTAGTAGAACAGTGGTAGGAAATGTCATCGCAAGCCTGAGCCTTGAAATCTCCACAAGGTGCCCAATGGCTGGAGCCCATCACAGACCAAGCCGTTGTCTAAAAATAACCTTTCCCCAGCCAGTGTCTTGAGCCAAAAAATGATGATGATGATAAAAAAAAAAAAGGGAGGAGGGGGGAGTCTAAAAACATCTTCTACTTGTTCTTGGGTGCGCTGGCGGCTCCTGACTAGCATGAAAATTCATAGCGACAAGCTGTGTCGTACAGAGTGAAATCGATCAGACAGACACAAGGAGAACCGAGTGTAGATTCGGGACAGCAATCCAACTTCATTTCTCAGATCAATCGTCCGCCATCTCAGTGGCGGTGACAGCAAGCTGGGACAAGAGGGCAGCCTGAAAAAGGAGGCTGTTCTTGTGGAGTGTGGTTTTTCTCTGGCCCCTTTAGAGGTCACAGAGAGACTGAGGTGGAGGGGGGACATTTGAACAAGGGAAATTTGTCTGCGCTGTGTTTTATTTTCTGTGTATGTGACTTATGCTTGTTGTGGGGGAAGGAGAGAAAGTGAGCAAGCAAGAACATGCAGAGAAGCCTTTTGGAGGCAGGGGCAAGGGAGACCTGTTTCTCTGGATAACCTTCAGGAATCTATGCCTTGACCACCAAGGGATCCGTTCTAAGTGAACCACTTCCAGTAGGGGATGTCATCAGCCCCAGCAGGCATTCTCCAGGAGTTTGTGTCATTTCAGAACAAAGGCACTGAGAACGAGATGTGATACGAGTGGAAGCATTAAAACAGCTTCCCCAGTCTCTCTGTCCTTTTGGTTAAGGGAGAGTGTTGGGCTTTAAAAGCCAAACATCAAGGGTACCCAGGTGGGATACAGTGTCATGCCGTTACCATCTGTCTGCGTCCAGATTGGTACATTGGGCTCAACAGTCCATTTTTAGTCCTTTTGCATTTCTTCTGGGAAGTCAAATTAGAGATTTCCCAGTAGGCAGGAAACAAAATTTGCATGTGATCCTCACTTCACTAGGATGGCTAAAGGCCCTACCAGAGCACAGTGAGAGAGAGAGAGAGAGCACCTATGGCGCATAGAAAGGAAAATGGTAGAACCCTTGCCTATTCAGTTTGATGCTTTCTTTCTCTCAATTCAGCCATGCTGAGAAAATGGACGTTAGGGGCTTACCAGTGAGGCCTGACGTCACTGGGCAGGGCCAACGAGGATTTGTGAAGTAATGTAACTGAACATGTGCAGATAATTATGTCTGATTACATAAGCCTGTTGCAAGAACTGTGGTTGAAAATGCCACATGAAAGAGCCCATCGTTTCACATTAATTTCTATGTTAGCTGAATTTATTCCCTTTCTGGCTTTTTAATACCAAAGAATAAATGAATCAGAGGCTGATCATGATAAGATATGATACTTTTGTATAAATTAAAATCCCCCCCAGGAGAGGTTGAGCTTATTACTGTCGGAGATATATTTGAAAATAACTGTCTTCTGTGTTAAGCCAAAATATAAGGGGAATTTTCTTCACAGGGCTGGGGGAGGGGAAGGAAGAAACACGAGGAAGGGAGTTTCTAGTCAACACCCAACTTCAGTCCAAAAGGCTGGGTAGAGCAGTGCAGCATGGCTTAGGCCTGATACTTCAGGCCAGCAACAGCAGGGGAAGCGATCCAGATTGACTTGGAGCATATCTGAAACTTGGAAGCTGCGATCGTGCTGCACATTTCCATTTTCAGTTTATGAACATAAGGGCCTTGCTGGCTATCTGCTGGGAGGGGAAAACATGTTGACAAGCCACAAGGATTGGGCAAAGGAGTGGTGTTCTTTGGGCAGAGGGCAGGTGGCTGGCACTTAAGAAGAATGTATTAAAATAGTGGTGCTCAACCTCCAGCCTGTGGGTTAGATCCAGCGCTTTGAGCCATCTCATCTGGCTTGTGGGTCTCCCCACAGGTCCAGAAATTTGGCAGCAGGGGATCAATGGCAGTGTTAATTGCCATTCCTCTGCTGCCAAATTTCTGGATGTTTGGGGAGCTCCATGGACCAATGAGCTTGCCCTGCACACTAGATCATTTTGGCACACAGTTGGGCTAACAAAGGATTGGGGGAGGGGGTTGTTCCACAGCTGGATCCAGATGCACAGGACTGGACAGTATACAGCTGAATCTTACCCGTGAACCATCCCCATACTCAGACCTTATGCTGGATCCAACCCAGGTCTGCGCCACTCATCTGGCCCATGGGGCCAGAAGGTTGAGCACCACTGCATTAAAAAATGGTTACATATTTTTGTCCAGCGTTACACATATTGTCCTGCTGGAGTTTCCCTAGTTGGAGTGACACGCAGCACTGCCCTTTGCTTGTTAGTCAGATGCACCTGGAGGTGTCTCAGGTGGGGGTAAAGGCGGAGACCAGGTTTGGAAGGGGTTTCTTCCCACTTCTGCCCACCCCCATGAATAATTAGTCTCATGGACAGTCCTGACATGATGATACTATACACGTCACTAATCCCTATGCAATTTCTATCACTCCTTTCAGCCCATCAAGTCTAATAGTGTTTAATAAACTGTGCCTATATATAAGGCAAGACACCCACCCTTTGAAACACAGGGGCTACTTGATAGCTGCTTGATAGCAGTGACCTTAAGACAGGAAGTGAAGAAGAACATCCTGTCCATCTGAAAACTAAAGCAGGGCAGGAGGGCATGAATGAAAGTTGCTAGTAATACATACACCTGTGCTTTACTGATTGCATCTTAAACTGTCCTTATAAGCCTTCCAAGGCTGGTGAAATCAGACCTGAATGAGAACTATGTTGCTGAAGTTCTTGCTTAGTGTGGGTTGTTAAGTCTAAGTTGATCTGCAGAGATTTTTGAGGGCTGGAAAATACAAGGTATATTATGTTATCCAGCTATATCATAGTATAATGTGATGACAGTTGCAGTAAGAAAAGCTGCTCCACCGTGGTCTTTCCACCTCTGTTAGTGCATTGATTTTGCATCTCCTTAGGAACACAGAATCCTGAAATGCTGTTGTAATCAAGATAATCAGTTCCAGGAGGCCCCTTCTTTACTCCAGAGATCTGTTTTTGTGGTTGCAGCTGCTATGTTTGGTAACAGAGCCCATGTTTTTATTCCTGTTAGCTCTGCAGAGCTCAAATAGCTGGATTCTTATCTTCCAGTACATCATTATCGAAATCGTCAGCTATATCCCAACTGTAAAATCTTTATTACTAGCAATGATGTCTGATGCAGAAAGAAAACAGCTGGATTTTCATATCCCAGGTGGCACTAGCATCACCAACCTCTAGCATGAAGTTGCTTTTTGACTCATAAAGTGAATGGGTGTCATCAAGAAAGGGCTGTGGGGCAGGGAAGAAAGAAACTTCTCATGGACTTGAACCTGGAAGGACAAGTGCCTAATGATCTGAACTGTGGTTGTAGTTGTCCTCAGAGGGCAGGGTACAACAGTATAGCAAATAACCTAATGAAATGGTAGGCCTGAGTCACAGAATTGGGACCTGAGCATATGCAGGATTCAGTTGTGTTAGTAGCTGGGCTTTTAGGGTTGCTTAAAGAGAATGGGGGCGCTGCGTGTGAAGCACAGGAAGTTTGTGAGCAGTCTGAGTCACACAACAGGTAAGAAAAGAAGCCTTGGACAGTCGAGCAGAATTTCTGCTTCCACTGCAGCTTACCTTCTACCTTGAGCTGAAGAACTGTGTCCAGAACTAAGTGGAGTGTTTGCAGCCCTGCTATGACAGGCAGGAAAAGATCAGTTAATGACCCCTGTGAGGACTGTATTATGATGTGGCCATGACCCATAGACTAGCCTGCAGGTTGAAAATAGCAGCAGAGAGGACAACTGCATAGTCCACAAAGACTCCATTCTGGTTTCGCTCCTAGAGATGGGACCTACCATGTCAGGGTTGGAGCTGCTGGGTGCTGTGCTTTGCCAGTGTTGAGAATGAACAAAGAACTTCAAAAACCAGGTGTTCTTCCCTAATCATGATATTGTTTCAACCCAGCAGTCTCTTCTGACATTTGGCCCTGCTCCAACACCCCCAGAACACACCAACTTGTTTCTGCTAGGGAAATACTGTGGAGTTACAATAAGGGTGGAATTGGAGACAGAGGCTCAGGACTGGAACTCTGAGCTCTTGGATTTTATCATTAACTTTGCCGTTAACATGGTGCATTGTGTTAGGTCAAAATATGAAGGGATATTGAGCAGTCTCTTTTTTCCATGTATGTCAGTGAAACACATCTGTGTGAAATGGGTAGGGCTAGCTGAAAAGTTCTTGATGAAACTTCTTTCTGCTGAAAAATTTCATCAAAACCAAAAATGTTTTGCAGAAACATTGAATTAATAGGAGATTGCTTTAGGAAGATTTTTCAGATGGAATTTCTAATAAAGATGAGAGGACATGCTTGTGTCTGTGCTTGTGAAAATGAGAAAGAGAAGATACACCCCATTATCCTGCTTGTTAAATTACTCACTCACCTGGGACATGGGAATCCCTGTCCTAAATTGGACAAAACAAGTATTCAGACCTGTGTCCACCTGTGTGTCAGATCAGAGCCCTTCCTACCAACTATGAATTCAAAAAGCAACATATTCAGCGCTTTAAGTTTCATAGTTTCTAGGGTCGGAAGGGACCTGAGCAGAACATCTAGTCCAACCCCCTGCCATGGCACGAAA